GGGATAACCTTGCAATCTCTGATGTTCTTAAGTTCGTCCATTCGGTGTAGACAGTAGTCGATCTGACATTTACTCTGCCTGCTCTTATAGGTTAGCAGGTGGTTTTCTTCCTTTCTGGAAGAATGTTTTTATTAGATGTGTGCAACTGCCACCTATTTAACATACCATGTCCATTTCCGCTATGAATCCTGTCATAACTCCTTCGATGTTTCCCGACGCGCCGATTAAGGTCACTCCCGATTATCACTTTTTCGTTTCGCGGTATGTTTTGCAGTACAATGTCTAGGCTGTCTCAGAATGTGGACTTTTCCGCTTCATCCAGGCCATTCTGAGATAAGGAGGGGGGTGTGGCGTAGGACTTATTATTTGTAAGGTAGCACTTTCTAGAGCCAGCTTAATGCCCATGATTCTATCGTTATTTTGGCTAACTTCGAATACTTTATTTTTGGTCGCTTCATTCAATATCACTCCAATTCCATTTCTTCTGCTTGATGTTCCACAGTAAATAAATTTATAGCCTAACCCAATCTCTTTCGATTTCTCACTTTTCCACTTCGTCTCCTGAATACAAGTCGATCTGAACTTTTCTTTTCCTAAAAGCCTCCGCTATCTACATGCATTTCCCGTCATTGTTTCAATGTTCCAAGTGGCTCTTCTCATTTTCTCGCTTCGTTTCCGGCATGTCAGTCTTTTCCTTTGCGGTTGCCATCGCAATAACCGGCATCCTTGCTCATTTCACACAGCCGCCGGGATTTGCTGCTGCTCCTTGCCTGTGAAGAGCGCCCTGGAATTTTTTCTAGAGGAAAGTTGACTCATTGTATTTGGCTTTTGCATTGTTTTTAAGGCCGGCTGCCTGCTTGATGTCAACCTGTCTTTCTGAACCGGACTGGGAAACTCCTATGGCTGGTTACGGTTAGCAGCATGCTTATTTGATGGCGACATGTGCTCGCCATGTCACCGCGCTGCGCTGTCATTGGGTCATTTGTATTTTCTAGAGGCAACTTTGCCAGAAGTTGACTCGCCGCGTCCTAATAACGCTATCCTCACACTGTCCGATACTATTTATTTGTCGGGTTCTCCGCTTATTTCACAGCTATCCCTCATATCTGAGGGCTGTCCCACTATCCGCGACCTGTGGACGCGTTCGGCGGCATCTGACTTTACCTCGACACTATCGATTTTTTATTATCGAATATAACCCATAAAATATGAGAAATTTTGCATTTTGTGGTCCCAGTGGATACAAAGAAGCGACTCAAAATGATATATGTCAATGCGCGAACCCTAGAGTGTTTACATAAGCATCTTTTGGGAAACAAAAAATGACGTCATCGCTTCCTGCACAGAAATTTATTTGCGTAAGCGAATTCCGCGAAATATAATAAATCACGTGTTTCTGTCACCAATCAGATGAATCGATTGCGTGATCCAGAAATCATGCGATCTAGATTTCATCATCTTAATTCCATGGACAGCCAGCCAGCAGAAACACGAATTTGCAGCCTATTTTAATGATGAAGCTTGGTTGAAATGAATTGCTTACCTAGCAGACATATTGGAACAGCAAAATAGGCTTAACCTGAAAATTCAAAGAAAGGAAACGAATATTATCGAATTTAAAGATAATCTCAGGGCATCTTCATGCAATCTCCAGAACTGGCGAAGAAAAATAAATCTAGGAAATATTGCCATGTTTGAGAAACTTTGCAGTGTGGTAGATGAATCTGAGAGTGCAATAAATGGTAATTTGAAAGAAGAAATTACTGGACATCTTGAATCCCTTGAAAGTGGACTCCATTATTACTTTCCTGAGCTGACAGAAAAATGAAGCTGCATTGGTACGAAATCCGTTCTCTGCTTCCCCTGATTTAGCCAGCATTCCCGATGATGTACAAGATCAATTTTTCAATCTGCGGAACGACTCCTCGGCATGCAACTTATTTTACGAGAAACTGCTGACTCAATTCTGGCTTGCAATTTAGCAGTCATACCCAAATGCCACAATGCTTGCGTTTCGAGTTTTAATCTTATTGCTTTTACATATCTCTGTGAAAGTGAAGTTTCAGCGCTTCTTCATTTGAAAACCAAGACAATAAACATATTAAATGTTGAGAATAACATGAGACTGGCATTAACGAAAACTCAACCACGAACTTTTAAGCCTATTAATGAGTTACAAATTCACTCGTCGCATTAAATATGTCGTAAGTTAAAATTATGCTGAATTATATTATACTGAAAAATCCATTTCCGATGTGTTTTCTTTTACCATATTAAAAAGTCTTATTTAAATATATTGGAATCACGGGTCACTTTGCTTCTATAAATTGGAATCAAGATTAGAAAAGGGCTGGGAACCTGTGTTGTAGTAGACTTCTTTCAGTTATCTGTGGCACTATATTCTCAACGTTGTAAGAAGTTTAAGATTTGCACGAATCGACTTTTACACTCATATTTGCCACAGACTACATATATGATATAGCAAGTTCAAGCTTGAATTGTATTGCTTGGATAATGCGAAATTTAGCTCGATTTTATACTCAATCTCCTACTATTCACAGAAGCTGGGAAACATAAGTATCGCAGTCAGCATTTTTATGGTTACAGAAGTGAACATACGAGATGGAGTGGACATGTTGTACCTGTTTAAAGTAAGCAGGGTTCTGTAATAGCACCAGCTGTTTCTGTTTTACGCATGGGATAACACGTTTCTTACAAAGTAATCAATATCCTGCTCGCTAGGTTCATGCGCAGTAACTATGCTACTTTTCCTACCAAAACAGTACCACCCAATTTTCAGAACTATTCTACCTTATGGAATCATAGAAATCATCGATTTCTTACCTGATCTATCATTCGAATGTCACACTTAGCGGTTGAAGAATGATCGAAATGAGCTTATGAAATTTTTCTCTCTTAATTTTTCTCCGGCTGTCCATTGTGCTAGTTGAGCTCATTGTTTATTGTTGGATTACTGAATAGACAAACAATTTTATGAGTTTTCAGTTACCTTTGTTTCGTGTCTGCCAACTTTCCTTCAGCAGAAGAATGAAAACAACCAGAAAAAAAATCGCCTTTCCCATTCGGACTTTCATGAAAAGTTTTGTTGCCAAACTTGCAAAGGAAGCAGCCTATGTTCGAGCAATGCGCAGTGACAATGTAGAAAACTTGTTTTAAAAATTCTCTAACCTAACACGGCCATCCAGCAACACTGAGATCTTAAGTAAAGCGCGTGTGAGAAATTAGGCCAAACAACGTCAGTCACCATGGCATTGTTCAGCGGTGGAGTCTTTTTGTTGTTGTTGTCAAACTAGTTGCCATCTTTTAATGCTTGACGAAGTCAGCATTCTATTTTTTCACATTAGATGACAGTGAATAGACCTGCCGTCAGACAAATCCCGGCCAATTTTATCCATACTAGTTTCGCGTCTTAGATATAAAGCTGTTTTGCGCTTTCAGGTTTGAAATTAATGTTAGCGTCACAAAAATGACAACAGTAGAAACAGGAACTTGTTTTATGGAATGGCATTGGAATGAAATAAGTTTATCAGCAGAATACAGTAGACAAATTTATTCTTGAAATGGGAAAAACTGCGAATTTGAGCACTACACCCCGTACAAACCGATTTATGTTTTATGCCGTCAAAGGCAAGTAACATACTTTCGCACTATTTTGAATTCGACACGGAACCTCTAATACGCAAGTTCAGCTTGATCAGAGTGTCTGATTGGCATTCGGCAATCAGATAGACTGCGCTAATCGCGACATTTTCTCTGTTCTTTGCTTAAAAGGGAATATGAACACTGAGGAAAAGCATGTGTGTAACCTCTGTGATGTTAGTCTCCCTTACATTTTTACGATGGAGCCATTTTTGACACTTCTTTCTTGGAACTCACAATGTGGTGCTGACTTCGGTTTCAACGACATCACATCCGGTGTTATGTACTTTCTAGTAAAAATGTACTTCTAGATACAACTGCGCGCAGTCAACTACTCCCTTTCAGTCGAACGTTACTCATTTGCCTACTTCAGGAGAACTAAATGCAAGTGATCAGGCTAGAGTTCCAACACACTGTCTTTCGATCGTAACACACGCGCTATGCGGATTAAGTTAGCTTGATATGAGCTATGACAAGAAATCGACGTTCGCAAACCAAAGTTTATCGGTAGAAGACATTTGTCACAAAATTTTTTTCGTGAATGTCTTTAATGTCGAAGGAGATTGTACGATTTAAATAGCTATAATCCATTTACAAGCAGTAGATCACTAAATAAACAAGGTGGAGCACAACCAAGTATGCAACGGTTCGTAATGAAACTGGTCTTTAAGCAAAAAGAATCATAAATTTGAACTAAACGAATGCTATTCAATTGGTAACGTATTTACACGCCTTTCCCAGCGATGGCATGGTAGTAAGTGAATCGTTTCTTGCTTCATATAAGACTGTGAGCCTATAGGTGAATCGGCGATCTTCTTGACGCATCACGACACGTTTAAATTGTGGAGGAGTTCTTGATATGTATTCAGAGGACAGTAGCAGCAAACGCCTGCTGACTCCTTGTATAGAGCGTGATTTTCTACCGAAATAACGACATCAGCAAAAATGAGTGAATATTGTTTTGAAGGATTTTGGCCGCAAGGTGCTGCACCATGAGATTTTCGCTTGAAATTGAGCACAAGAAGTACTGTCCTCTGTCGCGCGTTGCCGCAAGTGTTTCAGAACTGCGCATTTTTGTCCAGAACGGGGTTTTCGATTTCACACTTGGCACTGCAGGAGTACTGCGAGGTACCTTGCAAGTGAGGCAGCAAGTTGAGCGAGAGTGTCGACGTGTAACTGTCATCATCGGCCCATTGAATGTAATTCATATTTTCAGGTACAAACGGTTTCAAAAGAAACTGTCTCTCAATTTCCAAATACCGTCTAATATCTTCTACCGTGAACTTTTCCTTTGACGGGTGAAACTTTCTAAGTGCAGCGATAATGCGAATCGCCTCCTTTATGTCGTCACTCATGTTCAAAACAGTCACTCTGGCTCCTCGAAATTTCCGGCCGAAGTAATGCAGTTTGGTAAACAGTAGTTTCAACTGTGCACTGGCAAGATCAATGCACATCGTAATCAACGACAGGCCAATGATAGTGTAAACAACAATAAGTACGAGGTATACGTTGTTTTGAACTTTGATGTTACCTAATCCAATGGTAGTGATGGCGTTGAACGAGAAAAAGAATCCGTAAACAAACGTCCAAAGAGAACCGCGTTCGTAACTTGTAAATAATGCGCTGCCAACTGCGCAATAGCTCAGTATCAGCATAAAATAAGCGACGATTGGAAGTTCCACCGGAAGTTCGCTTTCTTCTTGTGTGAACAGTTGCAGATCTATGTCATTCAGATGAACTGGTAAAATGCTGCTGTTCTTGTCGTTTCTGATTCGAGCCATGTGAGCGTTTTGCATGAATGGTAACTTCTGTCCCGCGTAGCGACCAAACAAGATCACTTTCTTGTGAACATAAGTGACCATTGTCGAAAGAAATTTGCCAATATCTGCTGCTGTAATAAACATTAACGGAATGCCAACCAATCCAAAGATGACTGTAAAAATCCGACCCCCGTTGGTCAGCGGAGTGACATGATCATATCCTGAACAAATCATGTCACATGTTAGTCAGCAAGGGCAGCTTTGCAACACCACGTTTTAATGTTTGTTAATTTAGAAAGGAAATTAAATAAAATGCGTTACTCATAGCAAAAAAGAAAGTTTTAAAAATGTTTTTTATATCCGTTCTGAGAAACTGCATTTGCCTGAATGATACGAAATACAACTAAGCAACATAAGCGTCATGGTTAAAATAACGCTCGATGCAACGGTACGATTAGTTTCCATTTTGAAATTTGCACTCTTCTGTAGCGCTTTTAATGAACTTAGGAGGCAAGCAAAGATTGCAACTATATTAAAGTGCTTACAATGCAGAGAACGGTGTAAAACGATTCGAAATCTGGTCTTGAAAGAGTCATGCGTAACTTGTATTACTCGTGTGTACGATCATCCTATGGTGTTTATGCAGTAACAAAGGCGTACCAATTAGGAAACATCGTTTGTGATCAGCGAGAGGTGACTCTAGTGGACAAAATAAGGCGATATACATCTAGCTCTGCAGTTGCTCAAATTCCATGTAACCGTGGTCCGGTTAAATTATCTTGCTAGGCAACTATTCATTCCTATGATATTTGGGCTATTTGTTTCCTTTTCGGTTGATCGCTCCTCCGACCTCGCTCGTACACATTCAACTGGCATAATGCTTTTTCTTGGGCTGTATATTGATATGCTGATTTGTTGCTGCTCGTGCCTTATATTTTATATTTAACATCACATTTAATTGAACTTGACAGCGTTTCTATTATCATGCTGTGATACAGTCGTGAAGAATTTCTGGCTCTGAAAACGGATACAGTGACATCGAATTTACACAGCGAAATTGCACTGTCCCATGTACCTAGAGGCATTTCAAGCAGCTCACTGGTCGATGAATTGAATAAGTTAGAGAAAACAAACTTTGTAGTAAACCAAGCTTCTCAACTGACAACCCCACCACTATCGGTTCTTCTTCTTCTCATCCTATTTCGTCGAATATGAAAGTGGTTATCGTGCAGGCGTTCGAACTACATCGAATTAATGCATGCTTTGTCTTAGCCTTTTCGACGTCATCTCAGCTCTAACCTTTTCCTGTTACGTCGTTGGAGGTTTGCCTGGCGGCCGCCCGCTTTCATGCTTTGCATTTAGGTTTTGCAAAGAGATTATCGTTTGTTGGCTGGCTAAAATCCCGCTGCCTTAAATGACTTTATCGCAGCAAGTCTGTCGACCACTTCCGTTAGATATCCGTCATTTTGGAATGTCTCCAACACAAGCTTGTACCGCGTCGATCCTAATATTAATTTTCAAACCTTCCTTTCCAACGGTTTCAGTTTTTAGCTGCGCTGAGTGCTGCCGTCTCCAGGCTATGGAGCAAAACGATCAAAATGCAAGCTGTATCCGCGTCTTTGTGCTACAGGCAACTTCTTTGTCCCTTTATAGTTTGCTTAACCTATTGCCTGTTGCTAGTTCCATTCCAGAGCTCCTCTTGACATGATTTATCACTGATCCATTTGCAACAAAGGCACTGCCAAGACATAGAAGGGGCTCTATAAATGCTTACAGACATTCGCGTTAGTACCTTGAATAAGGATACATTCCCC